TCTAATCCTGTCAATGGAAGGGCTGGTGCAGCATACACGGTAATCAAGGATAATACTTTCCAACGCAGAAATGAAGAAAAAGCGCGTATTGAGAACTATGCCTCTTCAACGCAAGCAGAGCTAATTGCGATTGTTATGGCGTTAAGGTTTCTTGAACGGAACACTAATGGTGCAGTGATTTGCACCGATTCAAAAGCAGCACTGCAAAGCCCAAGTAAAAATCGGGTAGAAAATCTTGCAATAGTCGCTGAAATTAAGAGAGCTGTGAGAGTACTTAGCAATCAGGGAAGAGTCATCAAGTTTCTGTGGATCCCCTCCCATGTTGGAATATGTGGGAATGAACGAGCAGATGTGCTGGCTGGTGAAGGCGCTGAAGGAGACCATATTGAATACTTCATACCCAAGCCTCTACTACAAATTAGAGGTATTGTCAGGCAACATCATCGTGACAAGGTAACTGAGGAAAGGAGGATAGAAGCACAAACCAGTGAATCTATACAATGGTACAACATGCTTGCAGCTGGCAATTCCAGTCATTATGGCCGAAGAGGAGGAGGACGAGGGAGAGAATCAGTAAGAGCGAGAATCCGTCTTGGATACAAATATCCATGGAGATATGGAATGGAAACAACAGATGATCAGCGAAGTTGTAGAATAAATAAACAAATAAATAAATAAATGTTTATTTAGGTAAGGTACATACAAGAGATTTTACAAAGTTTGTTGGATTAATAGATAGAGCTAGTACATACAATGCCTAAAGCCACTATTACGCAAAGCGTTTCGGGCAGGAAAAACATTAATGACTAAAGCTTAATACTAATGGGTATAAAGAATAAAATGTGTTGAGAACAAATAAAAATAGAGGTAAAAGAGGGGGGAACATGGCTGAAAAAGCAGCACAAATACAATTACAAATTAGTACAGACAATTACATTCAAACAGCGTTGTTTAAAAAAAAACATACATGGGTTGACAACAGAGGGGTAAGGTAGGTTACAGGGAATTTATTAGGTAGTGCTTCGTTTTTATCTTAAACTGGTTGAGAGAGGTACAGTCTTTAACATGGTTGGGAAGGTCATTCCACATTCTGGGTCCCTTGATTTGTAGAGCATTTCTAGTTTGATTAAGTCGTACTCTTGGAATATGAAAACTGTATTTATTTCCGGTGTGGTGCTCATGGGTTCTGTTACAACCTTCAATGAAGCTTTTGAGGTCAGGATTGGCATTACAGTTCAGCGTTTTATATATGTATAATACACATGAGAGAATGTGCAGTGACTTAATATCTAACATATTCAGAGATTTAAGTAGGGGTACCGAGTAATGCCTGGGGCCAGAGTTGGATATTGTCCTAATAGCAGCTTTGTGTTGAGTAATAAGAGGACGTAAATGATTTTGGGTAGTAGAACCCCAAGCACAAATACCATAGTTGAGATATGGATAGATGAGGGAGTAATAGAGAGTCACCAGGGCAGGGCGTGGTACATAATATCTGATCTTAGAAAGAATGCCAACAGTTTTTGAAACTTTTTTTGATATATTTAGAATGTGTCCCTGGAAATTCAGCTTGTGGTCAATGAGAATGCCAAGGAATTTGCCATCTAATTTGTTACAAATTTGGGTATTGTTTATTTTGAGATTTATTTGATTAGAGGATTTATTGCCAAACAGAATATAGAAAGTTTTGTCAATGTTAAGGGTGAGTTTGTTGGCAGTTAGCCATAGATGGACTTTATTTAGCTCAGTATTTACTGTGGCATTTAGAGCAAGGGGGTCAGGACTGGAGTAAATGAAGGTTGTGTCGTCAGCAAATAGAATTGGTTTGAGGTGTTGGGAGGCATTTGGAAGGTCATTAATGTAGACGAGAAAGAGGATCTGTGGTGAGAGTGATGGACACCGCCTTGAACACTATCTACGTGAATGTGAACACCTGAGAGAAATCAGGACTATGTGTAGAATAATAAACCCCACATTGTTTGAGTTAGGAAAACACTATTTGTCAAATATTGATACTGTTCTTAAAAGATTCCCCTATTTTGCACCCGCAAGATAACGTAAGCTTTTAAGGGTTGATAGATGTTAATCTTCTTGTTTGAGGAGCTGGTCACTTGAGACAGTTTCTGTCTCAAGTGAACAGACAGAAATTCTGTCTGTTCTCTTTTTTTTCTCTCATTCTCAGGTGTTCTCAAATTTCTCAGGTGTTCACATTCACTATCTACGTGAATGTGAACACCTGAGAGAAATCAGGACTATGTGTAGAATAATAAACCCCACATTGTTTGAGTTAGGAAAACACTATTTGTCAAATATTGATACTGTTCTTAAAAGATTCCCCTATTTTGCACCCGCAAGATAACGTAAGCTTTTAAGGGTTGATAGATGTTAATCTTCTTGTTTGAGGAGCTGGTCACTTGAGACAGTTTCTGTCTCAAGTGAACAGACAGAAATTCTGTCTGTTCTCTTTTTTTTCTCACATTCTCAGGTGTTCTCAAATTTCTCAGGTGTTCACATTCACTATCTACGTGAATGTGAACACCTGAGAGAAATCAGGACTATGTGTAGAATAATAAACCCCACATTGTTTGAGTTAGGAAAACACTATTTGTCAAATATTGATACTGTTCTTAAAAGATTCCCCTATTTTGCACCCGCAAGATAACGTAAGCTTTTAAGGGTTGATAGATGTTAATCTTCTTGTTTGAGGAGCTGTTCACTTGAGACAGTTAAGCAAGTCCCAGCTGTGTCTGGGTACAAGTGACAAGATGAACAACCCAGCTGGTTTTCTTCCTATTGGGGAGTGTTGTACATGCTGCTATGGCGGTGTGTCCACTCACAAGATGAGTGGCACTTCCCAATAAACTCGCCCCTCGGGGCAAAATTTAAAAATTTAGAAGAACAGTCACTGACACACAAAGGCCAGAAAGCACGAGTATAAAGGGCTATGACATGTTCAGAACTGAGAATTATATTTACGACAGGATTAAACATCCACTAGACAGTGTGACATTGTAATTGCCAGGATCAGGCTGAGATATCTATGACAAGTGGCTGCAGAAAATGACTCCCAATGATGAACATTCTAACTGAACAAGAGCTGGGACATGTACTCTCCAACACTATATCTGCGATTGCCCTGTTATAAGTGACTTTAGACCAAACGGTATGAGGTACTTTGAGCTCTGCAATTACTTCATACACTCAGGAATATTGGAAGATATTCTTATGCTGTACCAAGATTTTGTTAGTGGGGCTAATAGCCTTACATTTTATGTTCTCAACTGATTTTTGTCCAGTGTTGATTTTGTTTTTGTATTGAGGCTGGTATTTTCTCCCCTGATTCCATGTATGACTAACCATCTCGTGAGATGGGAATATTAAATTAGCTTATAGCTAGTTGTTTATCTACACTGTAATATATCATATAAAATAAGGTAGCAGCACATTGCTGTGTATACCTAAGCTTGCTAATAATAATAATATTGTATATACACAAATAAGTTTAGATCATTTATTATGTACTTCATACCCATTTTGTGGGCAGTAGTGGAAATATAGGGTTAGAGGAACATAATTACTCTCTCATCTATCCTTATCTCAACTATGGTATTTGTGCTTGGGGTTCTACTACCCAAAATCGTTTACGTCCTCTAATTACCCAACACAAGGCTGCTATTAGGACAATCTCTAACTCTGGCCCCAGACATCACTCGGTACCCTTACTCAAATCTCTGAATATGTTAGATATTAAGTCACTACACATTCTCTCATGTGTATTATACATATATAAAACGCTGAACTGTAATGCCAATCCTGACCTCAAAAGCTTCATTGAAGGTTGTAACAGAACCCATGAGCACCACACCAGAAATAAATACAGTTTTGATATTCCAAGAGTACGAATTAGTCAAACTAGAAATGCTTTACAAATTAAGGGACCTCGAATGTGGAATGACCTTCCCAATCATGTTAAAGACTGTACCTCTCCCAACCAGGTTAAGATAAAAACTAAGTATCACCTAATTAACTCAATGTAACTTACCTCACCCCTAAATGTCAACCCATGTCTACGGTTTTTTACAATGCTGTTTGTTGACCAAATTGTATTTTTGCTTTTTTTCTGCCATGTTTCCCCCCCCCCTTTTTTCATATTTATCTGATGTTTTCACAACACAATTTATACTTTAATCTAAGTATTAAGTTTTAGTCTTAGTGTTTTTCCTGCCCGAAACGTTTTGCGTAATAGTGGCTTTAGGCATTGTATGTATTAGCTCTATCTATGAATCCATCAACTTTTGTATTTCACCTTGTATGTATGTACTTTACCTGCTGTGTCTGGGTGCAAGTGACAGGATGAACAACCCAGCGGGTTTTCTTCCTATTGGGGAGTGTTGTACATTCTGCTATGGCGGTATGTTCACTCACAAGATGAGTGGCGCTGCCCAATAAACTCGCCCCTCGGGGCAAAATTTAAATTTAATTTACTTTACCTGAATAAATGCAGCTGTGTCTGGGTACAAGTTTTTTTTTTTTTTTTTTTTTTTTGAGATATATACAAGAGTTGTTACATTCTTGTACAGCCACTAGTACGCGTAGCGTTTCGGGCAAGTGACAGGATGAACAACCCAGCGGGTTTTCTTCCTATTGGGGAGTGTTGTACATTCTGCTATGGCGGTATGTTCACTCACAAGATGAGTGGCGCTGCCCAATAAACTCGCCCCTCGGGGCAAAATTTAAATTTAATTTACTTTACCTGAATAAATGCAGCTGTGTCTGGGTACAAGTGACAGGATGAACAACCCAGCGGGTTTTCTTCCTATTGGGGAGTGTTGTACATTCTGCTATGGCGGTATGTTCACTCACAAGATGAGTGGCGCTGCCCAATAAACTCGCCCCTCGGGGCAAAATTTAAAATTTAAATCGACCATAAGTACAGTTTCTAAATTAAACCTAAATGAATAAATAAAACAAAGAAACGGCACCGTCGCAATGTTAGTGGAGATGTGGCACCGCCGCCTTTATTATGACTGAGAGTGGCGGGTAAAGTGTTGCTCGCCTTCATGTAAGCTGGCCCCAGCCACTTGGTCGTCGTCGCTCTCAACCAACAACTTCATGTAAGCAGCCCTATCACACACAAGCACAAGCTCTGGTAATTATCAGTAAATTGTAGCGAGTATGTTGAAAGTAAATATACGATTGTCTTCTCACATCTGGTGCACATCATCAATTGTAACAGATTTGTTGTCAGCTCATCTCCCTAGAGTGACTACTCTATGTATAGTTTTAGTTTAGTTCATTTATTATGCACCCCATACCCATCTTGTGGGTGGTAGTGGAAAAGGTTAGAGGCACATAATGGGCTCAGGGACTGAACCCCACAATTCTATTTATTTATAAATAAATAAATATAAATATGTTTATTCAGGTAAGGTACATTCATACAAGTTATGTTACATTAATGGATTGATATATAGATAGAGCTAGTACATACAATGCCTAAAGCCACTATTACGCAATGCGTTTCGGGCAATTTATTTATTTATTTATTTATATACAAGAAGGTACATTGGGTTTGTGAGACTACATAGCATGGTAATTTACAATCTTGTAAAGCCACTAGTATGCGCAACGTTTCGAGCAGAGCTAAGCAAGTTACAATCTTGATGAGCTAGTTACAAAATTCAATACACATCACATTATGAATGGGTTCGAGGTCGACCACAGGTACAGTTTCTAAATTAAGCAATTGACATATGGAGAGCTAGTGTCACAATTGATGTGTGTGTCATGTACACCGTCCCCCATCCAGTGGGCAGCGGTGGATAGGTTACAATCACTTAGTTACTACCTACAGTTAGCAAACTGGGAATATTTGGCAAAGATTTCTGGTAGTAGATCATTTTGAATGAAATATTTATACACATTTGGAATACTTCGAAACTTTTTCTTCCTTCTATTGATACTCGTCCCTCTCTCTGGCTTCGTTATGTTGATGACATTTTGCCTTATGGCCTCATGACCTTAGTCTTTTCCAGCCTTTCCTCTCCTCTCATAACAATCTGGCTCCTTCCATCCATTTCAAATTTGAATGGGAATCTAATTCCCTCCTTCATTTTCTTGATGTTCACAGCTCTGTGTCCGGGTTCTCTTTCTCTGTCTACCGCAAACCCATGCATAGTTGCATGTACATTCACTTCTTTTCCTACCATCCTCCTGTTAAGAAAAGTGTCCTCATCTCTCTCTTCCTCCTCGCTCTACGCATCAGCGACCCTCAGTTTCTTGATTCTGAAATTGCCTTTATCTACAAATCATTCTCTCGCCTTGGTTACCCTTTGTATTTTATCAACTGTGTCTATTCTCAGGCTAAACAAAATTTCTTTCATCCTAAACCTGCTTTCAACACTACTAGCACTGTGCTCTGCCTTCCCTTCATATCTGAACTCAAAACTTTTACTAATATCTTTCATCCTCTTGACATAAAGCTCGCCTTTCGACAAACTAACACACTTCGTAGGTATTTAGTTCACATTGCTCCTCCTGCTTCTAATGCTGCTGGTGTCTATTGTTTCCTGTTCGTCTCGTCCTCTCCAATACTTTGGTGAAACTGGTCGTACACTTAATGACAGACATAAAGAACACAAAAGAAGTGTTAAGTCTGCAGACACAAACAATGCTCTCTTCTGTCATGTTAGGGATTCTAATCATCCTTTTAATTGGTCTTCCTCCAAAATAATCTTTCCTGCCTCTATTCTACACAGATGTTGTCTTGTTGAATCGGCTCTAATACACAATGTACCCAACATGAACTTGAGTCCTGCTGTTGACTTGCTGTTGACTCTTCCCTTTCACAGTATATACTCAAATGCTCTAAACTTTCTAACAAATGTGACCTAACATAAGCTTACCCTTCAATTTATCTTTCTCTTTTCTTTTTCTTTCCCTTGTTTTCTCTTACGATCCCTTTCTTATTCCTATTACTATCCCTTTTATTACACCTTACCTTTCGTACCTTTTGCCATGCATTTTTTCTTCCGCTTAGATTTTCTTCTCCTCGCCTCTTTTTTGTCTATTTATTGTCTTCGCCTCCTTCCCTCATCCACAGCACCGCTCCTGTGCCAGGTAAGTCCGCTACGGGCTCACCATAGCCCGTGCTGCTTGGAACTTGTTCCGAGTAGCTGAATCTATAACAACAACAACAACTTCCCTCATCACAATTGACTTGAGAATGGTCCAGGACGAACCGAAACGTCGTCGTCCCCTCACTTTCTAATGTGGGGTTTGGTCAACATATTTCAGCCACGTTATTGTGACTCCTCATCTGCATATTATGCATACAATTTAATTGATATAAGCAATCATACTTGTTTATTTGTAAACTTAAGTATGTGTTTCTTGTAAGAGATTTTAATTAGAAAGTGTCTTGTTTAGAAAATTATCAATCACCCACACCTGTGGTGGATATTTTCCCACACCATCTGCAATGGACTGATTACTGGATGC